CCAGCCAGGGCAGAGCCTTCCTTGTACTGGCCCCTTTTCTGTGGCACCGCCTGCTTGTTGCTGTCCGGTAGGCACCCTCTTTGTCTTGCTTTCAGTGCCTGCTGAATCCAGTTTATTCAAGCAAGCCTTTCCTTGGCTGACCAGTCATGCTTTTATTGGTATAATCTGATTTTAAATCTTTTAATTCTCTCTTTTGATTTTTAACCATTTTATTCTTCTTTGTTTGGGATTTTTATCAGACTATGAACCCGGTACATTTGAGGGGAAATGCATGGAAATGGTGAGCTGGTGTCAATTTGAATACCAAGTGCCATTTGGGCCCATTTTTACCATCGCAGGAAACAAATAGTAAGGGTTATCCCCATCTGTACTTTTTCGAGCTATAGGCAGAGACATTGCAGATGTTTCTGGCATGTAGAAAGCTAGCACGCCAGGGCTAGGGTCCAACATAGCTCTGGCGTCCCCAACATGGTACTTACAGGCACCATTGTACCCATAAACATGTCCTTTGAAACACTCTGGGCTCTCTACTCTCCCTAATTTTTTAACATTTAACTTTGAAAGATTGTTTTAAACAGTTTTAAAATGGGAAGCAGGCGTGTTGCAAAGTGAAGTGCTGCATTTTCCCAGGTTTTTGTTGCAGGTCTGTGAACACACACACTTTGCCTCAGTTTCTATTTCTGGGCAAGGCTGAGTATCTTCCCCATGTGTGTTTAGTTTTCTCTGAACATTACCAGTTTGTTTTCTGTGAAAGGGGTATTTTGTTGTGCTTTGTAGGAATGACAATGGGATTCGGCATCTGGAAATTAAACTCCCCCCAGTAGCTTGGCTTTGATTTGCAGACTTTGGTGAGTTTCTTTTTAAGATTCATCAATTGGCCTTCTGGGAAACAACCACCATTTTGTGAACATGGAAGCTCCTCCCTGCACCTAGCACAGCCATGTTGTGAGAGTGCCCACACCACTCTCCCAAAATTTGGAATGTGCCCCTTGGCTCAAAGTGTTTAGGGTCCTCTGGCCTAGCTTCTCCCTGCTTTGTTATATGGACGTAAAAGGAGAGGACTTTCATATGGAAGCCTTCAGATATGTAGGCACTAATCGCATAAATTGGCCCCAGTAGTAGAGTTTGTGGTAGGAGAGAAAGAAAAGGTGTAGGCAAAAGCTCCAGAGAGAGGCAAAGAAACAAATTAGGGGGTGCGAATTATAAGTCCAGTTAAACGAATGGAATCCATTGCTACAAGAAGTGATGACCTAGGACAGAGGCCTAGGTGGCCTTTGCAGGGAGCTGGCCAAATCTGCAGAGGCCAGTGGGGTCCCGGCCTTTGGGCCAGTGAGCACTCTGGGCATCTTGCAGGGGTGGCGCGTGCTCACGCAAGGCTGGCCCTTTCTTGAAAAGGCTGCTGTGGGAGAGGCACACCAGACAAAAACCACTCATTTCCAGAAAGCAAACTGGTAAGTCCAGAAAAGAAAGAAATTTCTGTAAACACAAGGCAGGGGTGGGGGCGTCTGAGGTCCAAAACATATGGCTGCTGTTTTGGATCCAAGCACAGAAGGTGCTGAAAGGAAGCACTTGGCTTTGCAGCGTGCCAGCTTCACCATTAAAGAAAGAGTTTGAGAAGAAGCTAGGAAGTAAAATTAAAACCAGGGGGAACAGGGGAGCTGTTGGGTGCCACACAGGTAACCCACTGGGCTGCAAGCTTCTTTGTGGGCCTCCTGGGGGACTATGGCTGGCCACTGCTGGAAGTAGGATGCCAGGTGGATGGATCCTCAAGCTGGGCTTGGTGGTCCATAGTGGAATGGGAACTCCCTCAGTCACCCTGTGGGGTGACCTTTGCTGGGAGAGAGACACGGGGAGCAAGACCCTGTTGATACTCCTGGACCTCCAGGTGGCTTTTGATACCATCAACCATGGTATCCTTCTAGAGTAGTTGTCCAGGTTGGGAGTTGGTGGCACCACATTGTGGTGGCTCCACTCCTACCTGGCTGACCATTTCCAGTGGCTGGAGCTGGGGAACTGCCACTCTGTGCCATGGCGCCAGTGTCATGGAGTCCTGCCTCATGCTATTTAACATTTACATGAAACCACTGGGAGAGGTCATCCAGAGGTTTGGGCTGAAGTGTCACCAGTAGGCTGATGACACCCAGCTCTACCTCTCATTTTCGTCTGATCCAGTGAGGCTGTGTCTGTTCTGGACCGGTGCCTTGGCTAGAATGACGGCCTTGACTGGATGACGGCCAATAAGCTGAAACCCAGTGCAGACAAGACGAGGTACTGTGGGTGGGCAGTCCATCTGCCCAACCTATCCTGGATGGGGTTCTGCTCCTCCTAAAGGATAGAGTTCATAACTTGGGGGTGCTCCTGGACCCCAAGCTGTCACTTGTTTTGCAGGTGGCCTCAGTGGCCAAGAACACCTTCTCTCAGCTCAGGCTGGTTTTCAACTGTGTTTCTACTTGGATGAGCAAAGCGGAGCCACCATTATCTATGCATTGGTAACCACTTGCCTGGATTACTGCAACGCGCTCTACGTGGGGCTGCCTTTGGAGATGGTCTGGGCACTTTAATCCAAAACAGAGTAATGCAGTTATTAACAAGGACCAGTCCTAGAGGGGACATCATGCCAGCCCTCCCCCAACTGCTGGGACTGCCTGCGTACAAAACCCTAAATGACTTGGGACCTGTGTCTTTAGATCCCTACCAGATCACTTGGATCTTCAACGAGCCCTGCCTCATGAACCCCACCCCCCGCCAAATAAAGTGAGGGGGGAATTGGCAAGAAAAAGGGTCTTCTCTGTTATCACACCTCATCTTTGGGACTCTCTTCCTAAAGAGGTATGAATGGTACTCTCCTTATTCTGTTTTCACCACCAAGCAAAGACTTTTTTAATGTAGTACCTGCTTTTAGAACTATGGTTTTATTTGCTTTTTGCTGCTGATTTTATTGTTGTTTTTGTTGTCCACCTGTTTCACACCATATGTTAGTTGATTTTATGTGGTTTTAGATGTTATTGTTTTATTTACTATAGTTACATTTCTGTTTTTTTGTGAGCTGCCCTGAGAGTCCCTGGGCTATGGTAGCATAAAAATACAATAAAATAAATAAATAAATGGGGCTGGAAAGGATGCATCTTTTCAGACCCAGAACAGAGAAGCGCTAGAGTGGTTGGAAGCACACATGGACCCCATGACCCTCCTGGCCCCTTCCCACTCTAGTATTCCATGATTCTGTGATATGGAAATGAATGATGCATTTGGAAGAGGTGAGTAGCCCAGTGTAACTCGTGACATCAGAATGCATGCTGAAGCAACTCTGTGGGTGCTGCATGAACACATCCTGTAAGATTTTTATAAAGTACCCAAACCCAACAGCTCTTGGGAAAGGCGGTTTTGACCATCACCCACTGTCCCCAAGTTGGTGTCATGGAACCTCAAGCCTCCCAGTCCAGTCTACCCCACAGGGTGGCTGTTGCAGGGATAAGACTGAGAGCTGCAGGAGGAGAATGATATAAGCTGCTTTTGAGTTCTTTAAAAATGAAAGGTGGGATATAAATCAAATAAATAAATAACTGGAAATGGAACCATTCCTGACTTTCTCTGCTATTACATAAAGCCATCACTTGCTACGTTTGAAGAGAGAATGGTCTGGTCCAGATGCAGAGATCTGGCTTGGTAAGATCCAAGCTGAGCCGTGGTGTTCAGCCTCACAAGACCACGGCATGTTTTAAAGGAGGAACTGAGCCAGACAAACCTGGCTCCTGAAAGGGTGCCTGGCTGGCAGAAGTGATGTAAGGAGCCTCTTTGACCCCAGTGCAGGTCTTGTCCCAAATCAGCAGAGGAGAAAGGAGCACCAAAGGCCAACAGCCAAGCACCATCCCAGCCACCTTTGCCCCTCCACCACGTGCCAATGCTTCTCAAGTAGCACAGTTCCCCTTAACCAAGGCTGAGATGGCAGAACTGCCAGTTCCGATGGGCAAGACAAATATACATGTGCTGTTATGGAGGACAGTGAGAGGTGTTCAACCACTGGGACAAGAGACAGAGAGGAATAGCTTTGAGTCCTGGGTGAGCCTTACCGTATCATTGTCTATTCCAGCACAGGCTGGTATAGGAACCTTGAACACCTGCAAAGATGAATCTGCTATAGAATGGTTGACAACCAACATGTTAGTGGCATCTTAACATGATGGGTGAGATTCTTTAATCATTCTTAGGAATATTATGGTAGAAGAAAAGACCTCTTGGCCAATAGCTGGCTTAAAGTGTTGAAATGGCACTGAGCTAATTATCTGGTTCAAAATGAGTCCTAGTTAATTGGCTCAGAGTAAGCTGATGGATGAGCCCTAAAGGTTTTGCAAGCCAGCAATGGGTTGGAAACAAATTGTTGCAGCCACTATGCAGATATATACCAACCAGATGGTCCATTTGCAGAATACCATGTGAAATAGTCGTCTATCTACCTTTACCTATACCTGGATATAGTTTAGAGAGCTGAGGGGGTGACCAAGAAACAAAACCTAGCATGGCACAATGCATATAAAGAATGTAGTTGGACTCACTAGATTTTAGATTTCATCTTGTATTTTTTCCCCACACAAAGGAGCAATTGCTTTTCCTATCAGGGAAAGCAAAGCGCTGCATTTGCAGAAGCAGATTGGCTGGCTTGGATCTCACTGACAGAACTGCCCCTGTAGTGCGTGTGGTCCAGAAATGTGATAATTTCAGAGCACTGCTCAACTCAGAAGCTCACCCACTATTTTGTGGCCATTTCCATGGCTCCTTAAAGACCAACACAGCCCTCTGCAATTCATACCACATTATACCTTCCTCCCTTTTCCATCCCATCCTCTTTTGGTGACAAACATTTACAATAAGCTCCTTTGGGCAGGGACCTGCACCACTGGCTTTTGCAGCTCCATAGAAGATCTGTGTGCTCAACTGCATAATAACAGAGGCTTTTATCAAAATCATCCCAGATGCTCTATTTGAAGCTTGGTCTTCCTTACCTTTATGAAAATGAATTTCTTCAGAAGGTTGAAAATTAAGTAGGCCCAGTAGAGATGCAGAGCTTGCAGGACCAAGAGCTGCCCGTTCATCTGGAAATATGCTATGACTGGCACAGCGGAATAGTAGATAGAATAATATAGCGTGGCCCTTAGGATCCTACAATACACAATGTGTTGTGACAAAGTGAGAAAACCCCCTCCTTAATTTCTAATTAATGTATGCCTTTATTTGTTCCTGTGTTTATGCTGTACTTTGATGCCACTTTTAAAGGACTCGAGACAGCATATGACACATCACAACTGCAAGATGCAAAGCAAAAGACTGAAACCGCATCAAAAAGTAAAAAGGCAAAAGTCACAGAGTCTCAGCCTAGCCTACCTCACATGGGTGTTTTTGTGAGAACTAAATGGAGCTGTGTAAGCAGCCTTGGGTTCCTCACAAGAGGCAGGTTGTAAATGCAATGTAGCAGCAGCAATAGTCCATTTCATCTGATTCCTTTAAGATGCCTCAAGACTCTTTGCTATTATTAAACAGAAAATGTATCATCCTCACTATTCCAGAAATATGTCTGAAAACATGCCAGGCAGAGAATGATGGGACAGAATTAGAACCATGGAGGAAGCCCACCAAGAAACTCATCGGCCCACATTGTGTGGCATGTCAGTTAACCCTTCGGGTGAACAAGGTGCAGGTGACAAAGGTGCGTTGAAGGCCCTGTGCTGGGAAGGGTCTGAAGGAGGTGATAAGCCCTCCCTTGGATGGCAGATTTGTGATAAACAAGCTGGTTTTAGAAAAGGCCATTGGAAATTTGAAGGTTTCATTGGAAAATGATAGCTATGTGGGGTTGGGAATGAAACCAATCATCTAGGCCTGTTTGGGAGACTAAATCAGACTTGGTTGCCATACTGGATGTTTTGTATCAAATGAGTGACACAAGGATTGCTATTCTTAGTTGATCTCTCAGAGGCTTTGGAGACCACCTGCCACTGGCTTCGTGAGACGGTATCAGGACGTGGTACTTCACCGGAACCACTCCTGCCTACAGGGCCAGTCCCCAAGAAGGGTGTCACAACTTGTCCTGGGGCCTCCGAGTCCTGCAGCACTTCATGCTAACCACAGTGATATTCAACATAGATATCATAGATATACAAGCTGTGGAGCCAGGTGTCATGAGGTCAAACCCTGTGGCAGGCCCAGAGCACTTAATGCCCGTGGAGATTTGGGAATGCCAGTTCAGCACTTGCACGCAAGTGGAAGGGCCAGTCCACATGTTTTAAGGCCTCTTCCAGGGTGGCCTCCTGTTCCTACATCTGGAATCACTAATTTGATGCTGAACCCTAAACTGAGTGAAGTAACGCAGGTCCCCTCCTGAACTAAAATTGATTGGAAAAAGTTTGTATCATAATATAAAACCTCCAACATAAGAGAATTTTAAGCAGTTTAAACAGCTAAAATGTTTGCAGTATGATGCAGAATCTGATAGAAGCATTCAACACAAATGCCCAGTCATATGCTATCCAATGCCTGGAAGTGGAAGACAGTCTTAACCTGGCACTGAAAAGATGACCCGGTTAGTGTCAAATAGATGTCAGGTGAGAAAACATTTCATGATTGTGGGACCACTACTGAGAAGGCCCTCTTCCTTGTGATCACCTTCCAAATTTCCCATGAAGGAGGTACTTGAAGGAAGAGTTTGGATGTTAATCACAGGGTAGGTCCAAGCTGGGAGAGGTGTTCCTCACCTGAACCAAATATCATACTCATCCTCATCACTGCCACCATCATCATATAATCTGCTTCAGGAGGCTCAGAATGAATCAAATCACACTGCATAGCCTGTTCTTCTGGTGAGGCCCTTCTTTTGAGAGAGGGGATTTTCTGTGGCTATCCCAGGGTAGAAACTCCCTCTCAAGGGAAGTCAGGATGGCTCCCTATGCACTAACCTTCCACTAGCCAGCACAGCCCACTTTATCCACAAAGGCTTTCCATCTCTAAGTGGGCCTGTTGTTTGCCATGCTTTTAGTGTGCTGTGATGCCTTGTTTCATCTCTTTTGACTGTGCCTAGAAGCTACCTTGAGGACCATTTTAGGGTAGGAGGGAGAGAACAAATCCCATCTCATCCAGGCCATCAGTAAAATGATGCTACTCACCAAAAGGGGAAGAGAATGAGTCGTGTGATGAAGAAGACAACTGCGAACAAGATAAAGAGGGCACTGCAGGTGTTTTCCCAGCAAGCATAATTGAACATCTTCGCGGCCTGCAATAGTGAGCAAATGCATGGGAAGGCAATAGAGCAGAGCTCCACAGCAGAGCATCCTGCTTGCACACAGATGTCCCCGTTTCATACCAGCATCTCCACACAGGCTGGAAATGCACCTGCTGGAAACCCCGGAGAGCCATGGCTGTTGCTTTCTGCAGTACCAGACTAGATGGACCAAGGCGGTAACTCACCTTCTAAGGTTCACTTTAACACTTGCAAGACTCCTGAACTTGGCACCCAAGAACCTCCCTCTGCTCCACCTCCCCACCCCAGCCCTTACCCAGACTTGAACGTCCTTTACTCTTACAGTAGCACAGAGCATCAGACCGACTCTCCCAGGGACACTTCCCATGCTACTGTGCTACCAGTAAGGCCAGGATTACCCCTCACCCCAAATAATTGCTATAGCTATAACTACTACAACAAAACAACAACAACAGCAAATATAATCATTACAAGATAGGGAAAACTTGGCTCAGCAGTAATGCAAGTGAGAAGGATCTTGGAATTGTTGCAGATCACAAGCTGATTATGAGTCAACAATGTGATGTGGCTGCAAAAAGGGCAAATTCTATTTTAGGCTGCATTAACAGAAGGATCACTTCCAAATCCCATGAAGTCCTTGTTCCCCTTTGCTCAGCCCTGCTTAGGCCTCATCTGGCATCCAGTTCTGGGCATCACAGTTGAAGAAAGATGTAAACTCTGATTACAATATGACAAGAAAAACGATCAGAGCAGCTTTACCAGCTTTGCCACTGCTAGCAGAAGAATGGTCACAATTAGCTTTCTTTGGGAAATTTCATTCTGCAGAGGATTAACTTTGCAAGTAACTGTAGCAGCCGCCAGTGGAGAGTCTCAGTCTCTCAAAGGAAGAGATGACTAATAATGCTTCAGGCAACAAAAAATGAGCTTGGCTTGGAATTTTGGTTCTTGCTGGGCAAGAAGATCAGGGACACTGCAAGTTTGTTTTTATATCACAAGGGCACATAAAAGCAACCTTTCTCTATAAAGATTTACTTGGATTTCCCCAACACTCCCCAGTAGTCAAAGTCTTCTGGTTAGCTTACATTTCTTAAGACCAACAATGCAATAAAAACTTCAGCAAGCTGAAGCAGCAGAAAAGAAGCCTGAGGGAAGGGAAAATGTAAAGGAAATGGAAGCAGGGCCAGGCCATGAAGGAAGAATATAAACAAACAGCAAGGGATTGCAGGGACAGCATCAGGAAGGCTAAAGCAGGAAATGAACTGAGAATAGCAAGGGATGCTAAGAACAAGAAAGTCTTCTTCAGATACATCCAGAACAAAAGAAATGGGAAAGAGAAAGATGTCCAGCTACTTAAAGTGGACGGCAGAGTGAAAACAGACAACAAGGAAAAGGCAGAGGCACTCACTTCCTACTTTGCCTCAGTCTTCTCCTACAAGGAAATCTACAACCAAGAGGAAGCCGAAAATGAAAGATGGCAAGATTGACAGACAAATGGTCAAGGAATACCGGGATGGAATACCTACCTGGATAACCTCCCAAATGGACAGAGGGAACACCATGGACATAATCTGCCTAGAATTTAGCAAAGCTTTCAACATAGTGCCACATGACATTCTGATAAGAAAATTAGCAAAAACAGGACTAGATGGAAAAACTATTAGGTGAATCCAGAATTGGACACAAAGAGTGCTCATCAATGCACTCAAATTGGATGGAGGTAACTAGTGGGGTGCTGCAGGGTTCAGTCCTGGGCCCAGTGCTCTTCAACATCTTTATTAATGATTTGGATGAGGAAGTACAAGGAACAATAATCAGATTTGCAGATGATACAAAATGGGTGGAATAGCAAACACCCTAGAAGACAGAATGAAGATCCAGAGCAATCTTGATAAACTTGAACACTGGACTGGAAGCAACAGAATGAGATTCAATAAGGACAAGTGCCAAGGCCTCCACCGAAGAAAAAGAAACCAAATGCATCAATACAAGATGGGGAAATGTGGCTGAACAGAAGTGAAAAAGAAAAGTACCTTGGAGTAATTGTGGACAATAGGCTAAACATGAGCCAACAATGTGTTGCAGCTGCTGAAAGGGCAAGTGCTATTTTGGGATGCATTAGCAGAAGTATTACTTCCACATCATGAGAAGCAGTAGTTCCTCTATAGTCAGACCTCATGCGGAATCCTGTGTGCAGTTCTGGGCACCAATTTTTAAGAAAGATGCAGAAAAATTATAAAGGGTCCAGAGGAGGGCAACAAAAATGATCCAGGGTTTGGAAACACTGCCCTATGAGGAGAGGCTGAGAGAACTGGGCATGCTCAGCCTTGGGAAGAGAAGACTGAGGGGGGACATGATATCCCTCTAGAAGTACCTCAAAGGCTGTCACAAAGAGGAAGGTCAAGATCTCTTCTTGCTGATGCCAGAGCGCAGGACACGGAATGATCAAGTCAAGCTGTGACAATCCAGATTCAGGCTGGATATCAGGAAGAGCTTCCTCACTGTCAGAGCAATACAACAGTGGAACCAGCTACCTAGATAGGTAGTGGGCTCTCCCACACTGGAGACTTTCAAAAAGAAACTGGACAGCCATCTGAGTGGGATGGTGTAAGCTGGTGTCCTGCAACAGCAGGGGGTTGGACCTGATAGCCTTCATGGCCCCTTCCATGAAACTCTACTATCCTATGATGCACTGTCATTTTTTCCCTAAATTAAAAAATGTGAAAACCAATTTAAAATAAGAAACAGCACAAACAGTGCTCAGTTCAGGTTAGGCCTGTAAAATCCCACATAAAATTAAAGATGCAATTCCAAGATGTGATCCCAAGTGCATCCTGGCCCTGCCCAATTCTCTCCACTCCCTGGGTAGATTTCCTACCCCCACTAGAACATTTCCTTTGCAATATTGGCAGTAGCACTGTGTCTGTGTGCACATTGCTGGAAGGAGCCTGGAACTCCCTGTCCCTGTGCTCCCCTTGGCACCTCAGAATGGCACAGCCCACCCCACTGCCACATGTAGTTTGTCTGCTGGAAGCAAAGACCAAGGGGTGAGCTCGGTGGAGGCTGACCAGGCCCTGTGGGAAGTCCTTAATGACAGTCAAGGGGAGGTTCTGAAATCATTGGACTTTCAGGTTCTAACATGGCAGCCATGGTTCAGGCTCCCTGGCTGGCCTTGCCCTTCTTGTGGATCCAAACAGGGCTGTCTTGCCCTCAAGGCCAGCCTTCCCCCAGCTGGTTGACAGCACAACTAAATGTTTGGCAAAAGGCTTATTGGGAGACCGAGTGTACTTGCAGCAAGTGCTGCCAGCTGCCACTCTCGGCTGGCATCCCAGGACATCATGGCTGGAATTGTGAAGAAGAAGCAGGAAAGCTTGAGGAGGTGGGGGTGGAAGTTCTGGGGAGCAGGGTGCTGTTGAAGCACGCTCAAGGGTTGCCCACGGGGTCCCAGGCTAACCTGCAGAACAGGGATGTTGGGGAAGGGGTGGGAGGGGATAAAGAAGGAGAGGCAGGAGAGCTGGTGCCATGTCTAGCCCCTGACCCCATGGCAAGGCACTAACGGGAGCAATGGGTTGCCCCGTTAGAGGGCCTGCATAGGTCTTGCCAGCCAGCCCTTCTCCAGCAGGACCCACTCAGAAGGTGCAACCCATGGAGTTGCCAAAAGGGAAGGCTTTGAGGGAAAAGTTCCCAGTTTGAGATCAACTTTCTTGATGTGAGCAGAGGCTAATCTTCCAAACTCATTACAGCACTTCAAAGAGTTGCTTTGTCTCGTAGCTGTGAAATGCAACTGAGGATGTGCTTTGCAGAGAGACTGCCTGCTGTTTTGGAGCCTGAGGGCAAGAAGGGGAGGGCTGAGCCCAAGACACTGGTTGCATGCAAGGACTATGAAGTGCGTGTGCGTGCATGTGTGTGAAATGCCCACCTTGCACTTTGTTCTTGTGAATTTGGATTATTGTCAATAGAAGGTATGCATTTGACGATATTTTCACAAAAACGATGATGATGGGGAAGGAATGTGATTTGTAGTCGTCTCAAGAGAATTAACAACATGGCTCATCAGCAGACAGGGAAAGGAATTAAGTGTTCAGTTTGGAAGTCACCTTGTGCAAATTATTTCCCTTGGCTTGCAGATACAAGGTTTTGCAGGACAGCATGTGTGTGGGGCGGGGGGGCAGTCTCAAAGGTCAGTGCACCATAACTGCAGGACCACACTGATGCTGGATGCTGTTTACCTTGACGTTGCCCATGTTAGTCATTGGCTGCACTGTCCAAGTAGTATAGGAGCTCCAGCCCAACACTTCAAGGGGGGAACAACTTAGAGGAAGGCTGGTCTAGCGCCTTTCAGCTTTCTGATTTCTTCCCTGGTCCTACTGCTTGCCTGTCTTCCAGCCCTTCCTAGGCTAAAGCTTCAGTCTCACCCTGCTGGGACTCACACCTTCAGGACCCTACAATTCTGATCACCTGTGCTACATACCAAGAGGGTGCAACCAAGGACACACTGACCTCACTAGCATCCTCTCCATGTTGCTGCATCAGGAACTCAGAGCATGGTCTGAAGGCATATGAAGCAGCCGGGCTGCTGAAGCTAAGTAGCTCTGGGTGGGGCCAGGGCTTGGAGGGGAGGCTGCAGGGAAATTCAGTGTAGCCACTTGCACTTCCACTGAAGAAGGTGAGAGAGAAATGTCATAAATAAACAAACCCAATCATAGATAGTTGTGGGTTAGGGATCAGGCCACCAATTTGGACAGCTTTGAAAGGGGATTGGACCAGCGCATGGAGGGGAAGGCTATCCATGGCTACTAGTCCGGATGGCTCTATGCTGCCTCCAGTTTCAGAGGCAGTGCACCTCTGTATACCAGTTGCTGGGAAACATGGGCAGGAGGGGAGGGGGTGGCACTCTGTCCTGCTTGGGGGATCCGGTGGGCAGCCAGCTGGCCATGTGTGAACAGAATGCTGGGCTAGATGGTCCCTCCATCTGGTCCAGCAGGGCTCTTCTGGTGACCTTGTGTTCTGCTGAGTGAGGCCTTAGCCAGAGCTCCTCTGAGCAGGGTCCTTGTGTAGAGCCACTCGAGATATAAACAGTCCCAAGGGATTCATGCCAGTGCACACCTGAAGCCCCAGCAACATTACCTCCAGCCAAATATCTGCAACATCATGCACAAGCAACACCAGCGTTCCAACACGGACGTAATTGCCACTCCAGGAGCAGAACATCAAGCCCAGAGCTGCAAAGTGGTGGATCACATGGGCTTTAAAGTCCTGTGCAGTGGGTAGGGGAAGGAAATCACACGTTAGGTTCTCTTCTTAAAAATGCACTTGCATCCATATGGAAGAAACATATATTCAAAAGTTTTCATTTGAACATGGCAAAGTTTTGAAAGCACCATGACCACCCAAAAGTTATTGCAAAATGTTAAAATATTAAACTGTGAGTTATAGTTTAAATGCAAATGCTTTGTTGTTATTTTGCTGAGTTAGAATGAATAGAACACAAGTCAATATTAAGAATTACAGATCAGACAAAATTGTCTGTGAGTTCTAGAATTACAGAATCGTAGAGTTGGAAGGGGCGAAGAAGGCCATTGGGTCCAGCCCCCTGCTGTTTCAGATCACTGAGGTACACCATCCCACTCAGGTGACTGTTCAGATGCATTTTGAATGTCCCCAGAGAGGGAGAGCCCACAACTTCCCAGGTAATAGGAGCCATTGTTGTACTGCTCTGACAGTGAGGAAATTCTTCCTGGTGTCTAGTCTAAAACTGGTTTCTTTTATCCAAAGTCCATTATTCCATGTCCTGAACTCTGGAATGAATGAGATCTTGTCCTTCCTCTTTGTGACAGCCTAATTTAGTTAAATCAATTTGAATGAGCACAGAAGAGATAATAATAGTAACTGATTTATTGTGAGACATTTTGATTTGGATACTATATGTAATATTCATGTAAGCTCTCTTGCTATTTTCTTTCTCTTTTTTACATTCCACCTTTTATGAAAATAATAGTAATAGTTGCATCTAAACTCAGCAGAGCCAGGATGAATGTACAGAACCCAGGGTGCTATGCAACCTAATTGCCTGTACGAATGAAAGGGAGGCTGTTCCCTGTTGGTCAATCTTCAGCCAAGCTATGTAATTAAAGGACCAGTCAGTAGCACCTGGAAAAGAATGTCATCACCTTTCTGTGATGGGGCAATTGCTCAGATCAACAAGCAAGTACATTGCTGCAGTGGAGGGAATTCACCTGAGAGCATCCTCTTCCAGCCACCAGCAGGCAAAATGTGACATGCCTTTTATCTGGGCTGCCTGAGGCTCTTTCCCCTAAATAACTTGCAAGCTTCCACTGTACCAGGCTTCCCTTTGCTACTTGTGACTAGAAGCACCTTGCTGTGCTGCAGTGTTCATGCCCAAGACCATGTCAGCCCCCAGCCCTCTGCTAGAGACAGCCACACGTCTAATTTGCCACAGCTCTGGGACCTGCTGGCTGAAAAGGATGGAAGTTACAGTCCAATGCATCTGGGAGGTGCCAGATTGCTGGCTGCATACAGAGGCACCTACCTTTTTAGCACTTAAATAAGAAAACTTCCATGGACACCTAAGAACTTAAGAGCACCATGCTGGATCAGATGAAGGTCCCTCTCCTCCAGCAATCTGTTCTCACGGTGGCCAAGCAACTGCCTATGGCAGCAGGATGCGAGAGCAACAGCACTTTTCTGTGTCTGTCCCCTGGCCACTGGGGTCTGCAGGGGTGCGGTCCTGATATGTGGAGTAGCAGATGGCCCTCATAAGCAGTAGCTCATCCTCCGTGAATCGGGCCTTTGAAAACCACCCAGTTTGCTGGCCAGCATGGCATCCTGGGTGGTGAACTCCATAGCTCAACCATGCACTGTGTGCAAGGCCAGATCTTCCCCCTCAAAGCTAGCAAATCATTCCAGATGTGTAGCACATAAATGGTGAATGGCCAGCAGGACATACCTTCCTTTTGGTGTCGATCCCGAGGGTGAATAGCAGCGACACGTAGAAACTCATCTCAAGCATATAGTACCAGTACTGAGATGGTAGCAAGGGCTGCAAAGAGAAAGTAGACCATTAGTTTTCAGATTGGTAAAACATCCGCACTTCTGGGATGGTGATGAAGGCATTTAGATTAGTCCTGCGACTGCTGCAGTGAATAACAGAAATGCAGTAGTCCCCCAACATTTGTGGGGGTTGTGTTCCTAGAGTACCCGCGGATTGTGAAAAACTGTGAATTTTGAATGTGGTAAAGGTTCACTGTCAAAAGCCTTAGAACAGGTGGTGTGTGGGCGGGACGATGAGGCGGGGCGGGCACACACATAGATCGTTTTCTCGAGTGAGTCCAAACTGATCTCCTTGCCACACAGACAATTCCATGAAAGACTGAGGCCGCGAACGCTGAACTGCAACTTCACGGGGGTATACTGTATATCAAAAAGGCCACAGCAGCGGGTGAAGGAGAAAACAGAAAGTCACAGAGACAACCTATTCTGAACTGGGAGAGCCGGATGCCTATATGGGCGTGTGAGAAAACCTCTGTTCTTTTAAATCTTCCCTGAAAATCCACTATTTATGTAAGCCTTTTCTTTAAACTCCGTAGTCCCATTTATTTTCTATTTAAATATTTTCTTGGTTATTGTGAGCTTTGTTCATTTCAGCAGTATAATTGGGGGAAGGATGCTGGTAATTTGGTTGCTGCTCTTGTGGAACAAGTGGAAGTTGGAAATGATTACTGTTCTGCTAAATATCAATCAAAGATGTACCAGTTGATTCAAATCAACCAGGATGTATGGAAGTTGTTAAGCTTTGTGGATTGCCAGATGTTTTTGCTTCCATCATCTGTTTATTGAAGAAACCGGATTCCCTTTCAACACTCTCATTCTGCTTGTGCTAAGTGGCATTAGTACTCATGTGCACTTGTGCAAATACAACTTGGCTAATGGGAAGTAGCTATAATGTGCACAAATGAATTAGCATTAGTGCAAATGCACAGTTGTGCTAATGCAGGGGAGGGTGATTGCAACTGGGAACAAATCCTTTGCCAACATGAAAAGCTAGCAGACAAATCCACAGAGCCTACGGGAATCAGAGAAGCCTGGTCCACTGTGGAATCCATGGATTAGATTCATAAAAATCCGAACTTGTTTGACTCCATGGCAGATTTCTTCAGCATCCTACTTTCTGTCTGTCTCTGGCAGGGACTCTCTGGGTTCTCCAGCAGGGGTCCTTCCCATCACCTGTTACCTGATTCTTTTACAGCTGCAGATATGGAGACTGAAGCTGAGAATGCCTACATGTATTTTAGCACCAAGTTTTGGTTCTTGTTCATCTGCTCACTGCTTTTATTCAGCTCACTTCAGGTCTATAGAGCTGGGTCTTCAGAGCTGATATAGTTCAACCACTGAAATGGATATCATATCTGGCAACTGTGGTTCAGGAGACTGTCTTGAAGCCATGGTTCTTAAAGGAAAGCTCCAGTGGGGCTGCCTCTCCCATGACCTCCCATGATCCACAGAATTTTCTCCCATGACCGTTTTGTCCAGGAGTGACTGAATATGAACAAAGAAACTACTGGGGGCCCATCTAAGAGGGCGGCTTGACCACTTCAGTCCAGAAGGGACATGGAAAGACAAGGAGAACTCTGAGGCGCTCAGCAGCTGCAACACTCACATGAAACGGATAGTCCACCCACACCTGCCAGATGTCATAAAACCAGGGTTTCTGCAAGAGACACAGAATCAGACTGAGAACTGGCATCTGTTCACACATTGCAAGCATAGCATAGTGGCTGTATAACTGACCTGGGGCAAATCTCACCTCTACCACAAGCTTACTAGTCTGTGACCTTCACCTTCTCTTGCCCTCAATGCATTCCTGTGATAAGAGAATAGCAAATTTACACTATTCCTTGAGGATGACTAAAATAATAGAATGCACAGTGCTTCAAGCACTGAAGCAGCATTTCTCAAGCTGGTACCTTCTAAATGTATCGGATGCCAATTCCCATCATTTGGCACAGCCAACAGTCATGGATGCTGGGATTTATAGCCCAAAACATATGAAGGACACCTAATTGGAGAAAGCTGTTCTAAAGTGATACAGAAATGTCAAATATCATTGAAAGATAGGCTACTGTTAATTGATGAATTAAGGCTGTAAGCCTATACCTATTTCTCTGGGAGTAGACTCTACTGAACTCAATGGGATTTACTCCTGAGGAGATAGGAATAGAATGCACTGTTAAGAGAACAACTGAATGTGAAGAGAGTGATCCATAAAAGGGATCCTCCTCTTTTAAAACATGTTAGTAGCCAATTATGTAGAAAGTTTCCAGTAAAACTTCAAACAGATACTAGAAAATAAGGTCATCATATGACAGCAACCAATTCAGCATAAATTTAAGAATGAAATTAGTACAACAAAACTCTTCACACTTCCAGTATGTCATAAATGTTTGCACTCCATAATCCCATTCTGGTTGGGAAACGCTGGAAGCTACAGGGCTTTTTTTCTGTCTATACATGCGTGGAATTGTGCCTAAAAGCTTTAAGACTGAAAAGAATAAAAAGGTCTTCACCCAGTGCCTGAAAGAACTGGAAAGTGGGTGTCAAAAGGATCACAAATCTCCCAGGACCACTGAAAAAGCCCACTCCTCACTTAGCAGGGACACCTGGAAAAAGACCTTTGAAGGTGATCTCAAAGTTTGGGCAGAGAAATGCGGAAGGAGTTCATTTTTCATGTAGCCTAGTCCCAACTATTTGTTTAGAAAACAATAAAATCTTGAAATCAAAAATATTTATGATTTACAGCTGCATACTCAGGCTAATGAAAACATGGCACCAAGGAGGAGGTCTGAAACCAAGAACACTGTTTTCTTGGTTAAAGCTTTTTTATGGAGCTGCTATTTCCCCCAGTATAAAATATGTTGGTATCATTCATTTAAGAAACCCATGGAAGATTCTTTTCACAGTTCTCTCACATAATACCTGGTTTGGCCCTGACTTCCTATGTCAGTTTTTTTTTTAAAGCTATGCTACAATATATACCATTCCCTGTATTCCTATTCTGTATTCTTTGCCCTCCTTTTAACATGAAAACACATTAAACCTATTAAAATAAACAAGTACTTCAGGAGTAATGAGGAGTATACCGCTGCTCAGAAACTGGTGGAAAGTTAGGGGTTATTTCTTATTTTGCAACAAACCCAAATTTAGAACACTTGGTAATCCATGATGCACATCTTTGAGACCATAGAGTACAGGATAAGGTCTTCATTTTGTTCAATGTTTTATTAAAATTTGGTTATCATCCTGTGTTTCACTTACGTCATAGAGAAATATAATTCCAGCAACAAATGATATACTGAAAAATATACATCGCCAACTGCAAAAAAGAAAACAAGAAAAAAAAAAGTTCATGCAGAAACGCACACTTGTATGCACAAACACACCAGGTGCACACATAGGCTATGTTCAGACAATACTGCAAGCCATTTTTAAAACCAATTTTGTTTTTTTGTTTTATAATAAGTTTTATTTGAGAAATTATACAAAAACAAAAAGAGAACTACAAACAAGATCCACGATCAAAAAACATCGAGCCCACTAGGTCAGCCCCCACACCTTTCTTTTTCCATCTATAATAACTTAGAAAACATATTGAAGTCTGTGCGAAGTCCCGTTTCTCTAGCCAATAATAAAAAGATTCCCAAATTTGATAGAAGTCAGTATTTTCTTTTTCCTTCAATGATAAATTCAGTCTATCCATTTCTGCACAATCAAGGATCTTTTAATCAATTCATCGGTGGGAAGTTCTTTACTTTTCCAGTGTTAAACGAATACAAACCTCACCGCAATGATTACATATAAAATCAGATGCATTTCTTATTTACTAATGTCCTAATATAATGCCTAATGAAAAAGAAATCTCAGGTTTAAAAAACTAAGGATTTTTGTTCCACTTCCTCTACCATATATAATAAAAAATACCCAATTTACGTTTACATATCCAACATCCATTTGACATCTTTAAAAACATCTTGGCTAATCTATTTGGTGACGGCTACCACCTATAACACATTTTTACAAGCTTTCTTTATACGAGGTTGCTAATGTTACCTTGATATTTCTCTCGCACAGCTTTTACCACATTTCTAGTTCAGTATTAAATCTAAGGTTTTGTGCCCGTATTATCATGGCTTCCTTAACCTATTCGTCTTCCATTTTCCTAACAAGTAGAAGGTCACACAATCTTTTAAAACCATTTTTGGTCCGCTGTGTTGTCTGAACCCAGTCAAGGTCTTTCACCATGCTAAGTTTGGGTTCTAGAAACCATGATGAGAAAAAATGGCTTGTTCGATGTTTACTCTGTAGCACCATGGCATGTCATATTACCTGCACTCAGTGAAAATTTGGAAAGATTAATGAATTTTGGTTTGCGTAGTGGTTCGAAAGTATTAAATTCAGTAAATTCTCATTAAAACTCCAGCTGCACACATTTTTACTTCATCCCTACTTGAGACACACCATTTCAGGCAGGGGTGGCACACAGAGCCCCAGATGGAACACTCTTCCATGCAACAAACATTTAGCCACAGACGAAACTATTCCAGCCAATTTTTTTCTGACATGCCAATATTCTACAAGCAGGATATTTTTGCAAATAAAGAGCTCCAAACAGAAGGTACCACTGCTTTTTCTTACCAAGCTTCCTGGAATTTCTTGTGCAATGTTGGGATTTCTAGATTTCGTCGTCTTCTGAACCATTTTTCCACCAGGTGTACAGTCCAATTGCACTTTTTGGCTAATCTGCGTATCTCTGCCTGTAAGGGAGGGGGAAGAAAGAAAGATGTGGGGAGTTGGCAGAAGAAAGAATACAGAAAAAGTCCTCTCCTTTTTAAGGCTGCAGTGCTTTCCACAGGGAAAGTGAAACTCTGGTTTGGAGCTCAGAAAAACATTTGGAGTGGGTTGACTTGTTGTTGTTAGTCACGAAGTCGCGTCTGACCCATCGCGACCCCATGGACAACATTCCTCCAGGCCTTCCTGTCCTCCACCATCCCCCGGAGTCCACTCAAGCTCATACTGACTGCTTCCATGACTCCATCTAGCCACCTCATCCTCTGCCGTCCCCTTCTCCTTTTGCCGTCAATTGTTCCCAGCATCAGGGTCTTCTCCAGTGAGTCCTTCCTTCTGTTTAGGTGGCCAAAATATTTGAGTTTCATCTTCAGTATCTGGCCTTCTAAAAAGCAGTCAGGGTTGTTCTCCTTGTTTGATCTCCTTGCAGTCTTAGGGACTCACAGGAGTCTTCTCCAGCACCACAATTCAAAGGCCTGAATTCTTTGGCACTCAACCTTCCTCATGGTCCAACTTTCACAGCCATACAATGCAAATGGGAAAACCATAGCCTTGACTATATGCACTTTTGTTGGCAGGGTGATGTCTCTGCTTTTTAGTATGCTGTCTAGATTTGACATAGCTTTCCTCCCCAGGAGCAAGCGTCTTTTAATTTCTTGGCTGCAGTCCCTGTCTGTGGTGATCTTGGAGGCCAGGAAAATAAAATCTGTCACTACCTCCATTTCTTTCCCATCTATTTTCCAGGAAGTGAGAGGACCAGATGCCATGATCATAGTTTTCTTAATGTTGAGTTTCAAGCCAACTTTTGCGCTCTCCTCCTTCACCCGCATCAAGAGGCTCTTTAGTTCCTCTTCACTTTCTGCCATGAGAGTGGTATCATCTGCATATCTGAGGTTGTTATTTCTCCCTGCAATCTTAATTCCAACTTGTGATTCATCTAGCCACGCCCCTCTCATGATGTGTTCTGCATATAAGTTAAATAGGCAGAGCGACAGTATACAGCCTTGCCGAACTCCTTTCTCAATTTTGAACCAATCAGTGGTTTCGTGTCCACTTCTCATTGTTGCTTCTTGACCCACATATAGGTTTCTCAAGCGACCAAGAAGATAGTCTGGTACTCCCATCTCTTTAAGAACTTGCCACAACTTGTTGTGATCCACACAATCAAAGGCTTTAGCATAGTCAATGAAGCAGATGTTTTTCTGGAACTCCCTAGCTTTGTCCATGATCCAGCGTATGTTGGCAATTTGATCTCTAGTTCCTCTCCCTCTTCGAAATCCTGCCTGTACTTCTGGGCGTTGACCCTGTTGCTTCATTCTTTCTGGCACTACTAGTACTAGCCTTCTGCTCTTCCCCAGTAAGCATATTGGACACCTTCTGATCTGAGGCGCTCATCTTCTGGCGTCATATCTTTTTGTCTTTTGGTACTGTCCATGGGGTTTTCATGGCAAAGATACTGGAGCGGGTTGCCATTTCCTTCTCCAGTGGATCACGTTTTGTCAGAGCTCTCTGCTATGACCTGTCCATCTTGGGTGGCCCTGCATGGCATCACTCATAGCTTCATTGAGCTATGCAAGCCCCTTCACCATGACAAGGCAGTGGTCCATGAAGGAGACAAAAAACATACGCTGTACTAAATCCCACAAGTTTATTCACCTGTTTTGCTTTTACTTTCCACATTGCAGACCAGGAGCGTTTCCCACTAAGGATGAAAGTAGTGATGCAGTCAAGATTTAATGCTAGTAGTTATGCATAAACTTTAGGGTGCAAGCTTATGCATAACTAGGAAGAAAAAGGCCTACAAATCCCAGCATGCCTCAACTACTCTAAGCAAGTCCAGTTATCATCACCGTGCCCATAGGGTGCAATCATTTGCATGTCTAGACAGAAAATTCTGGCACTGCCGCCACTGTGGCTGGCTAGAAATGCTGAGACGTGCAGGACTTCCCCATGTCCCAACATACCTAGAATTGCACCCTTAATTGTTTTAATCGACAGGTTCATCTCTGCAACAGAAGTTTTAATTAATAGTTGATGCGAATGTTGATTGGGATAGCCAAGAGCTGTAAGACACACCTTTCTGCAGGGCTGGCTGAAAAATGCAGGACACGTGAGCCGCTCCAGTGGGTAAAGGAACCCCAGGACTGCCTGACCTATACAAACCGCTGCTTCCTATCCTTCCAGCCAATTTTGTCTTCAGCCTCCCTTTACTCGAGTGCAGGAGCAGCCTGAGTGAGACCTTTTTTGGTTTGGCTCGGTTGCTGTTAGCTTTCAGGCACCCAGCAGGCAGCAGCTCTGGAAGGCTGCAAGGGAGAAAGTTCTGCTTCTGCCTTCCACAGGGCAGCTTTTGGGAAAGCTCAAGCAAGCAAAGAGGTTACGAGGACAGAACTAGATGTGAGGTGTGAAGCAAGGATCTTCAGCATCTCCTTAGCTTAAGATCTGCACTGAAGACATTTCTCCACAATTTTCAACATCCCTGTGAAAGGGGCAGAAAAGCAACTGTGAAAAGAGGTTGCACATGGCACAAGTGGCAGTTGAAATGGCACTAGAAAAAATGTGACTGGAAGTTTGGACAGGCAGGGCAGTATCATTGCTGCAGCTGTCGCCTGTTCTCTCCAAGCTCCCCACTCGGTTGGCCTGGAGTGTAAATGGAGTGCATGCATCCAATGGCTCACAAGGGAATAGGCCATCTCGGCATGGGCGACTTTTCTTCAGAAAATGGGGTGGGGACGAACATCACTCTCAGCCAGCCATGTTGCCAGGCTTCACCTAGTCCCACACCCCAATCCAACCTTGATTGAAATCTTAACGTAGCACACTTTTGCACACGTTTATACAGCTGGGCCCTTCGATTTGGTGCCTGAATTGTACCAGGGTCAATTTGCCCATTGCCAGTGCCAACTGGAAGATCGCTAACAAGGAAAATTTACTGCTAAACACACATTTGCAATTTTCAGTCTTGGATTTCAGTGCTGATGCTTAGTGGAATGGAATTAATCTCTTTCATCTAGGGGCCAGTAGTCAACCACATTTCATATATCCTCAGCCACTCAGTACTGCGAATCTTCTCCAGGAGGTGGTCGTAGCTACTTGATGCTTCCAGCCCATGCAAAGCTTCCACAGGAGTCCTGGTTCAGGCTTCAAGGTGCCATGCTGGACAACTCCAAAAAGCACCCAAGCCAAGAGACCCAGGCAGACAGACCTAATTTTGCTTCATCAGCAGAGGCAGTGCCTGGGAGAGCTCCACTCAACACTCCAGTTGGAGATGCCCACGAGGAGACTCAGCATGTGCTTCAGCAGCAGAGGACCTTAGACTGAGACAGTAACTTCGGCACCATCAAGTACTGGTGACCCCCAGGTCAGAGGGTCATACCAGTGTGCTCAAATATCGCTTCCACAGCTTAATGAATAAATAACACAGAGCCACCTGGACTGATACAGCACCTCAGACAGCTCCAAGGAGTTCCCAGATAGAAAACGTGCAAGCTGGCTGTGTTCCTTCAACAGCAGACAATGGTAGATGGTGACTTCAGCGGGGCTGTAGCTCTGTCTAGGCCAGTCTTTCCCATCCTGGCACCCTCCAGATGTGTTGGCCCAGCTTGCTGGGAATGATGCACCCCAGTGCATCTGGAGGGAACCAGGTTGCAGGGCTGACCTAGAGAGCAAGCCCTGACTGCACTAGGAGAAGCTTCTTGTACCTGAAGAGGCTGCCCCTGTTGTCGTCTCTGCTGGGAATGGGGAACCTGCATTTGTGCTGTGCTTTCCACAGTCTGTGATTCATAGATTCCAAGGAGGGCAGCGTGGTATCCTTTCCCTAGGAAGTCCATCCTCCACTCTGTCACCTCCTGAAAGTCTATTTCCTCATTTCCATACCCCACCCCACAAAAAAAGATAGAAAAACTGTAGTTTCAGACCCTGAGGCCATGGCAAGCACCCAGAGTCAGAGGATAAATATTTCCCAGCAATACACATCTAGATATGCAGGCATATAGCTTGTAATCCCATTTAAACAGATGTGGGTGATCATACGGGACGGATTATGAAGTTTTGCTTCTGGAGAATTACCTAATACTGAATTAATGTGTTTTGAGTAAAAAGGTGTGGCAAAGAGGGGCTGATTCAGCTCCAATGCTTTTTAGTTGCACAATGTATAATTCTGTTGCAGTGACAAATGATGACAGATGCAGCACCTCTAAATTCTCATGTAATGCAGAAAAAGAAAAAGAAAAGAAAAGCACCTCCATGGCCATAGAATGTTCTGATCTGATCATGACATTTCTCTTTGCTTCTGTTTTCTAAACCCACCATTTTCAAATAGGACAACTCGTATTCAGAATATTTAAAAGATTGTAGAATAAGGCCCCACAGTTAAAATGTTAATTAACTTTGCTGTTTAATCAATGGAGGCTTAATCTGATATACCATCATGATCCAGTGCAAAACCCAGAGACTGTAGGAAAGAAACCAGGTTGTCAGGTTCTGCAAATAAGAGAGGGTCACAGAGCAAGTCAGCAGCATCTGGTAGAGTCAGATCAAGGCAGCTCAAGTCTAGTCAAGATAGGTAAAGACAAGGCATGGTGGGCAAGCCCAGCCAAGGGAGAGAGAGTCACAGCAGGAAATGTCAAGGCACAATGCCTCTTGTGCAGAGGGCAGGGGGGAAAAATAACCCAGTGGGTAGCTCCAAGTGAGCCCGGCTGACTAGTGTTCTCTCCACTTGAACTATAGGTGGATGTTGTCTTAGCAGGGGAGCTATAACCAACTGGTGCCTTCTAAAGGTTGGAAAATTAGCTCCAGTTTACTTTCAACATTGTCCAGCTTACAAGAAGGAAACACTTCACCCAAAGTAAGAATACTTCATTCAGCCAGCAATACTTATTTTTAGAGTTAATTCTAGTGCCTATGTGCTACTGGCAGGGATACACTTGCCCTCGATGCAAGCTGGTGACCCTGCTAGAGGAGGAGGTGAGGTGCCTGAGGGCTGAGAGAGCTCTCCAGGCCCACCAGGAACAGCCCCCCTCTGGACAGAGGGTTGAGGGAGAGACCACGGGAGGAGCAGCCACGGAGACATGGAGGTATGTCACCCACAGGAGGAGGAGGCCAGCACAGCCTCCTCCTTCTCCTGGTACCAGTCTGCAGCTGGGAAAAAGGTTCTCTCCACTCGGGGGGGCTGGGGCTGATGAGGCCTCGGGGGACCAGCAGGACCCCCAGCCTGGGACAACAAGCGGCAAGGGAGCCACTGCAGGAGAGGCGAGGGCCAGGGCATGACCGTCCACCAGCACCGGGAAGGTACGGCGGCAGGTGATTGTTGTTCGGGACTCCCTGCCGAGGGGCACTGAGCCGGCGGTGTGCCGCCCCAACCTGGAGACAAGGGAGGTCTGCTGCCTGCTGGGCGCACACATCTGGCATGTGAAGGACAGAGTGGAGCGTCTTGTTCACTCCGGGGGTCACCAGCCGCTCCTGGTGATCCATGTGGGCACAAACGATGTGGCCAGGCAGGGTGTAGTTGGGACCACCAGGGACTTTGAGGCCTTGGGGAAGAAACTCAGGGAGTCAATCTTACCAGTCCGGGGATTTGAGCCAGGAAGGGACAGGAGGGCCTCTGAGGTGAACAACTGGCTTAGGGTGTGGTGCCAGAAGGAACGCTTCGGGTTCCTCAACCACAGCACTCGTTTCTTGCCAATGGACTTCTGGCAAGGGACGGGTTACACCTCACGAGGATGGGGAAAAGGTCCTTTGGAGATGCTCTAGCGAGCTTCGTCCGGAAGACTTTAAACTGAGCCGGGGGGGGGGTTCAGGTCCCCCAGTAACGTTGTCTGCACTGGACAAGTGTGGGGGGAGGATCAGGGCTCTGGGAGCAGGGTTTTAGAGATACTGCAGGGACTGACAGGGCTCCTACAGAGAGGGGCCAGGTATCAGGGAGGATGGGAGGAAGGAGGAGGCTGGGAACTCCAAGGAAAGGAAGCGGTGGGAAGGCTTTGAGGTGCATGTCAGGGAAGGGATAGGATGCAGTCAGATAGAATGCAGCACAGATGGGGATTCAGTAGAGGCAGTCTGAGTGAAACTTAGGGGTTTTGACAGGGAAAGAGACGTGACAGTGGAGGTATGTTATCGCCCTCCAGGTCAACTTGAGACCCTGGATGATGTCCTGACAGGCCAGATTCTAAGGATATCTTGGGGGAGAGACACAGTAATTATGGGAGATTTCTATCTCCTGGATATTAGTTGGGAGACTCACGCGGTGGTGACAGCCAGGTCACGTCGCTTCCTAGAAGCTATAGAGGGAGGGTTTTTCACACAGAGGGTCCGAGAGGCAATGAGGAAGGGAAACATCCTTGACTTGGTCTTACCAATAGGGAGGAGCTGATAGATGAAGTACAGATTAGGGGAGCTCTGGATGCAAGTGATCACTCCATCCTTTGCTTTGAGATCAGGGGACTGGGGACGTGCAGCAGGTCGAGCTGGGACTTCAAGAGGGGAAACTTTGGCCAACTGAAGGCCAGACTGGGGAAAGTCTCCTGGGATAGGTTACTGGAAGGTAAGAGAGTTGAAGAGGGGTGGATATCACTCAAAAAGGAGGTTTTGGAGGTGCAAGCCTTGACGATACCTCTAGTCAGTAAGGTGGGGAGGCAGAGGAGAGTGCCACCATGGATGCGAAAGAAGGTGGTTAGAGGGATTAGATGAAAGAGGAACCTCCGTAGGAAATGGGTACTGGGGAAATAGACAAAAGGGTATACTGAGGGGAGGAGGCCTGTTGCAGAAGGATTCTTCGCAAGGCTAAGGCTGATTACGAGCTGAGACTTGCCAAGAATATCAAGAGCAACAAAAAGGGCTTCTTTCAGCATGTAAATAGGAAGAGGAAGGGGAGACAAGAGGTAGGACCACTAAATAAGGAGGAAGGAGATCCAGTGACTGATATGAGGGAACAGGCACAGATGCTAAATGACTATTTTGCCTCTGTGTTCTCCCCAAAGCAGGACGGGGGATATCTGCATAGGAGATTAGATGAGGCTGGGGACTTAGGGGCACAGATTAGAGTCACCCCCCCCTTGAAGTAGAGGGGCTCCTCAGGGCATTCGACATTACAAAGGCGCCAGGCCCTGACGGGTTACACCCAAGAGTACTTAGAGAGTTGGCAGGGGTTCTCTCACGCCCGCTGGCCTCCATTTTTGAGAACTCGTGGAGAACGGGTGAAGTTCCAGAGGACTGGAGGGTGGCATCAGTGGTCCCAATTTTCAAAAAGGGTAGTAGAAAGGACATGGGGAATTATAGACTGGTTAGCCTTATGTCCATTGTAGGAAAAACAATGGAAAGGCTCATAATAGAGAGAGATCTAGTGATGCTAGATAGAGAAGGGAGGCTGACAGCCACACAACACGGCTTCCGCAAAAACAGGTCCTGCCAGACAAACCTTGTGGAATTCTATGACAAGGTTTCGAGATGGCTAGATGGAGGGGATGCAGTGGATGTAGTATGCCTGGATTTCAGCAAGGCCTTTGACAAAGTGCCCCATGATATCCTGGTGGAGAAACTGAGGAGTTTAGGGATACACCAGAGCACTGTCCGGTGGATTAGGGCATGGTTGACTGACTGAAAGCAGAGGGTAACCATTAGTGGGGAATCACTGGGATGGCAGCCAGTGACAAGCAGGGTCCCCCAGGGTTCTGTGCTTGGGCCAACCCTGTTTAATCTTTTCATTAATGACATGGAAGAAGGGGTGAACAGTCTGCTGATCAAATTCGCAGACGACACTAAAACTGGAGCAGTGGTCACAACTGAGGAGCAGGCACTCCAGATCCAAAAGGATCTGGACCGACTATGGAAGTGGGCAGGAGACAACAGGATGGTGTTCAATGTGGATAAGTGCAAGGTCTTGCACTTGGGGCATAGGAATAGCCGTCATAAGTACAGGTTAGGGGACAAGTGGCTGGAGAGCAGCACTTGTGAAAGGGACCTCGAAGTACTGGTTGACTGCAGGCTAAACATGAGTCAGCAGTGCGATGCAGTGGTCAAGAGGGCGAACGCCACCCTTGGTTGCATAGCCAGAAGTGTGGCTTCTAGATCAAGAGAGGTGTTACTACCACTCTACACGACTCTGGTGCGCCCGCAACTGGAGTATTGTGCTCAGTTTTGGGCCCCTCATTACAGAAAGGATATAGCCAGGTTGGAGTCAGTGCAGTGTAGGGCCACAAGGTTGGTGGCCGGTTTGCAGGGGATGCTGTATGAGGCAAGACTGAGGGAACTGGGTCTCTTCAGCCTGGAGAAGAGGAGACTCAGAGTGGATCTGTTGGCGACATACAGGTATGTGAGGGGATGTCATATGGAGATGGGTAGAGACCTGTTCTCCCCTGCAGAGGAAGGCAGGATGTGCTCCAACGGAGCAAAGCTCAGGGAGCCAAGGTTTCGTTTGGATGCCAGGAAGCACTTCCTGACAGTCAGAACCCCGAGGGTGTGGAACGGGCTTCCACGAGAGGTGGTTGAGGCCTTATCGGTGCGGGTGTTCAAGGAGAGGCTGGACGTCCACCTGGTGGGCATGTCGTGAGCGGAGCCGGCTGGTGCCGGAGGTCAGACTAGATGGCCTGAGAGACCCCTTCTCACTCGCTCTGTTTCTATGTTACTGTACCTGGGAATGGAAAACTGAGGAACGGTGACAAGTGGCAGGAACTAAAAACTGATTATTTGCTAAGTGATCTTACATTTCCTTCAATAACTTAAAAAAATCCATATATGCAGAGCTTTCATTATGTGGTCCCTCGTGAGCTAAACATTTTGTGCTGCAAATCTGTTTGATAATATGGGCTGATCACTATTGGGTTTCAGTTCATTTTTAATGCACTGCTTTTACGAGGGTTCTTCAAAAGGTCTCCACACTTTTTAAAACTCTATTAAGAATTTCAAAAACAAATTACATAACTTTTCTGCATGGTCACCTTCCTTTGTGATGCATTTTCCCAGCGCCGTACCAACTTTTTAATGCCATCAGCCAAAAATATATAAAATATAATTATATAATATAAAATATAAAAGTGTGTAAACTTTTTGAAGACCCCTTGTATTTTATTTTTTCTACTTCTCCAATTAAGATCAAGGGAAGCAGAGCTCTCCCATCTGCCGTCCTCCCTTGCACCCTGCTGCTTTGGGTACTTTCCTCCCCAGTCACCTGTTGCTGTAGAGTCACCACAGGAAGAAAAGACACCGGTTCAGCTTTCCTGCCCACACAGTTGTTTTGATCCCCTTTTTAAACAACTATATAAATTGTTAGAGTCCTTATGCTGAGATTTGCATCTTGATAGGTAACCAGCCCTTCCCTTAATTATTTAAATTAATTAATTTCTTTCTTTTGGGTAGACAGAGGGCTCCTAGTGCAAACCAACAGAAGTCACGGTGGTTTTTTTCCTTGAACCATTGTCCATGGCATGAAGAAAAGGTGGAGAAAACAGTGCCAAGGCAGGGGAGAGTTATGAGGGGAAGTTCGCTCCCCTGCCAGTTCCACGAATCAGCAAAGTCCATGTCTGGAAGTGCCCAGCAAGGAAGGGTTGTGCTGCACCGGCAGAGATGTTTGGGTAGAGCTGTCTGTGAGGATGTGCCACTCTCCATCTGTGTATTGGTTTGTGTTGTGGCATTTTTACTGTGCTGCATGTGAGGGTACATGGCACTGAAATTTAATTATTCCCTGAATAAAGTCTGGTGGTGAATACTTTTGGATAAGTGAATATTTTAATTAATTGAATTCAAACTGATTTTTTTGGATAAAACTATAGTGAGCACAGATCATGATTGTCATGTGAGCCATTCTGGGATATCAGCATTGGACTAGCAAGTGGAGTAGATGAATGAAGTTTCAGAATGAGAGAGAGAGAGACAGAGAGAGAATGTGGCTTTGGAAATAGGCTCCTCCCAAAGAACTCTTTTTAAAGCAAAAGCTCACCTGTGATGGCTTTTTTTTGCAGTTCTTGAAAAAAATTTCCAGCACGAGATTAGGCTGGGGCTTGATGCGTTGCACAGACTTTACACCCAAAAAGTCTGCCAGAGGAGCAGCGATATATCTGGAAAAACATGACAGGTGAGACTTGGCACCTTTAAACTAGTTTCCAAGGGACTTGGTGCCATCTGGGCCACCCACGAGGTAAGAGGTGGGGTTTGGCCCCCAGGATAACATTGAGAAATAAAATACTGCCTATGGCACCACTCGCACATGAAAGAGTAGACATTTTTCTATGCGAGGGGAGTAGGAATATACAGAATTTCAGCACTGCTGAAAGGGGGATGGGTCTGGCTAAAATCATCCAAAGACCTTGAGGATCCCAGAATCTGTGCTAGGAATGAGGTTCCCTGCATCCCAGATTGCAACCCATTTGTTTTGCCCCACTGAGGGGGTCTCATAATTCCCAATCAGCATGACCATATGGGGAGAACTGGGGAAGGCCACACTAGAATATCACAGAACTTGCCTGATAGTTTCTGCATATATTTTCATTCCTTAAAGATGAAAACTGCACTGGAGCTTAGCCCTGGCTGGTTGATTAGGCTGCAATTTTAAGACAGAACAGAATTTGATCCGTTCTATTCTACCTTAAAGGGTAGCCTTCCAACCTTTAAGACCTGGTGCTCACCTTTAATCTTAAGTTACAAATCCAGATCCACTTTTATAAATACCAATCTTCTGTTCCATGTCTCTTTCTCTCTCATTCTCTGTCTCTCTTTTTCTTTCCTCCAGTTCCCCCTTATGCCTTTCCATGCCTATTCTTCTACTTTGCCTTCTTGTTCCCTTCATTAACAAATGAAAAGCCAAAGTGGTGCTTTTAGCTCTACCATCTAGGGATGTTGGAAATGTCTTCAACAGAACCAAATGGGTCGATTTTGCAAGTTTGCCCCATAGATAATACAGCAAGCCAGCTTTCCCACATGGTACAGAATTTGTGGATCTTGTAAACTAATTCTTAAATGTGGGGGTTTGCACAGGTTTTCATGTAGAAAATTACACAGAATGAAGACACCAATCAAAAATGTGCAATTTCCTCCACAGAGTGAAGTGTGAAAATAGATTATTTTGGGGAGGTCAAATTTATGCAAATATGTGCAAATGCATTTGTGCAAATTCTTAGTCAACAAACTGGCCTACAGTAAAGTCACCCCAAAATCTACCAATTGCCAATGGAGTTGCTGTCTCCCCATTCTTTGCTACCATCACCTGCATCTGTATCTCAGTTTTGGTCCTCATCTACACGCTAAAGATCCATGTCCTAAAAGATGGGTTTTGCAGTTCAAGGCTGTAACAATCTACTGGACTAGAAAACAGTCAGGCACTTCCCAGGATTAAAAAACAAATGTGAACCACATCACTTTATAACACTGCTGCTGCACATGCAGACAACAGAAGACAATAATTCTATTTCCCTTGTATCCTTGCAAATATTTGCTTAAAGAAAATCACAATACTTCACCTTTCAACAAAGAACCTGATCACCAGCATCCCAAATGCATATGGAATTATAGCAAATAGCTGCCGTGGTTTTGGGTAGACACCTCCATTACGATCTTCTAAGTTTGCCCATGAGCAGTTGTGGGGGAGCCAAATGTTCTCCCACCAAAACCATTTGTACAAGCCTGTCAGTAGTTGTTCCATTCTGAAGGGGTTGAGAAGAAAAGAGAAGTGACACATTAGGCATCGACATCTATTCTTAATCATTTTTTTTTAAACACACACACAGGCTGGCTCTTGATTAAGCTGAAGTCAGGTGAAATCAATGGAAGAAGTTACTTATTAAACATAGAAACATAACAAGTAAGAAGGGGTCTCCTGGGCAATCTAGTCTGACCCCTGACTCCAGCCAGTTCCACTCATGGCATGCTTACCATGTGCACGTCCAGCCTATCCTTGAACACCCGCACCGATGGGGCCTCAACGGCCTCTCATGGAAGCCCATTCCATACCCTCAGGGTCCTAACTGTCAGGAAGTACTTCCTGGCATCCAAATTGAACCTTGGTTCCCTGAGCGTATGACTTAAGTAACTACTAACCAGATGAGTTTTCTTTTCTCTTCTCCCAAAGCAGTTGCATGAAGCAGCTTACAAAATATGGAAACTGTATAAAAAGTAACTGATCGATAAAACATATTTACAATGAGCTAAAAGCAGCAGCAGAGAGAAAAAGACCACAAAGAAAAAATCCCTAGAAGTCAGTAGAGAAAATTAAGCAACTAACAGGTCAGATCTTCAATTAAAGGGAAGTGTAATACAGAAATTTATACGAGGCAAATAAATTTCTTGTCTTGGGACAGCAGAACCACTCAAACCCCTGTGTATATCAAAGACTGATCATTTTTGGAAGTGTAGCAATTCTGGCATGTATGTCTTAGAGTGGTCCAGGATGGATGCCACACTAAGAATTAACTGAATAAGTCTAGAACCCTGGAGACCTTAACTGCCCATGAAAGGGTGTATCACCCCAACCCATTACAGGAAAATAAATTCCAGTTCCAAGTGAAAAGGATCTTGGAATTGTAGATCACAAGCTGAGCATGAGTCAACTGAATATGATCACAAGCTGAATATGAGTCAAATCATGTGAAGTGCTGGTTTCCCTTTCTGTATCAGGACTCTGCTGTAAAAGACAGGCCTTGGTCTCTGGTCTTCCTTAACATGAGCAAAGTGCTGCACTCTAGTTACCTCGCTTAGCCTAATTAAAGTGTAGGCTTCTAGTTACTGTCTCTTGGCCCTGACCTTCCAAGATATGGAGAAGCATTCCTGGCAAGAGAGAAGGGACAAAAGACAGGCACACAGCTGTGCCCTATTTTGGAGGCGTACCTTCTCGGACTTGCTAACAAGCTTGTGCTTTGCTGTTTGTTTAGCTTATGATATTGTACCCGAAGCAAGAATAAGACTCTAAAATTATGGGAATCTTAACTGCCACTAATAGGAAACTTAATAAGTTATGTATTTTGGGCCTAGAAATGAAGTAAACAGACAGTCCCACCATGTATGTCATAGACACTCATGTAACATCCATCACCTGCTTGGAGATTACAAGTGTCAATGTTATTTCATTAATTAATAATATCTAACTTTGGTGTATAGTTGCTGAATCTGTATAAACTGGTCCTTTCCCTTGTGTGCTGTTTGACTTTATCACCCTGAGGCGGCTTCACTGACTGTCTGTCCAGCTGATTGAAGCCTACCATGCTGTGCATTTTAAGTGATCTGCTGTGAGACTCTTTGAAAGCTAGCTCACTTGTGGTTTGTACACAAGAATGTCTCCTAAGCAAACCTGGATCTAGCTGATCATTAATTATTATTAAGATGATAATCTTAGACAGTGCTTTTTTTTGTAAAAAAAAAAAAAAAGTGCCGGAACTCATGTCTTGCGGTCACACTTTTACATTAAAAAAGATTCTCAATTCACCAACTTTTTTGAAATAAAGAACTTATTTATCTTTTGCACGTAGCCAGTCACTCTACACACACATAAACATAATGATCGCCGCCGGCAGTAAGCACTCAGCGCGCGACCACACAACCAATCCCAAGCCAAGCAGCATCCCAAGCCGAGCAGCGCCCTCACAATCAGCACTAACACACAAGCAGCCCGCAGGCACTATTTTAATGATTTTGCCGCTGACCTGCTATGCCTGACAGGGCGATTCACAATCACTTGGAAAAATCCCCTGGAAAAATTCATCAAAAAAGGGTGTCGGAACGCTGTTGTGGTGCATTCTATGACAAAAAAAGTCCTGACCTTAGAAATCCTCCGCCCACAGCTGGGGCAACACACTATCCTCAGCACTGGTAGATCTCAGCTTGAGTTCTTTGTCCAGTTTTGGGCACCACAGATTAAGAAAAATGCTGACAAACTTGGTAACATTCGGGGCAGGGGGGCAATAACATCAGGGGACTGGAAACAAAGCCCTATGACAAAAGACTGAAAGAATTGGCCATGTTTAGCCTTGAGAACACCGAGGAGAGATATGATAGCACTCTTCAAGCACTTGAAAGGTTGTCACGCAGAGGAAGGCCAGGATCGCTTCTTGATCATCTCAGAGTGCAGGACATGAAATAATGAGCTCAAATGTCAGGAAGCTAGGTTTGGGCTGAAAATCAGGAAAAACATCCTGATTGCTGCAGCAATATGACAATGGAACCATCATTCTAGGGATGTGGTGGGCTCTCCCACCCTGTAGGCATTTGAGAGGCAGCTGGACAGCCATCTCGGATGCCTTAACTTGGAGTTCTACTCTGAGCAGGAGATTGGCCCTGATGGCCTTATTGGCCCCTTCCAAGTCTCCTATTCTATGATTATGGAAATGTTTTCTTGAATTATATACAGAGTAATACAATTCGCTGCAAAATCAGCTCAGGCCAGCAAGAAGACATCCTTGACATAATGCCATCCATCCTTCCATTTTCCATGTAGGAATTTTGTAGCTTGCAACTTGGCCCTTGCTTATTTGAATCTTGCCCACCCATTCCCCCATTTCGCCTCAGGAACCCAGAGCACACTGCAACAAAAGTTCCTTCTCAACGTGTTCCAGCAGTCCTGCTCGAGAAAGACTTAATTCCCTCTTCTCATCCTTTTTCCATTGTGTGCCATGCCTTTTTTAATTGTAAATTTGCAGGCAGGGACTGTCATTATAGGTAAGCTGTTTTGGAATAGTTTTTGACTGAGGAATGAAATAAAAACACTTTAAATGAAGATATAAACAATAAATAAACAACTAGATCAGACTGACAGAGGCTGCCCTCTTCTAAGTCGTGTACATCTGTGGGGCTGCCTGGTGTTGGTTCCTTGCAAAACCATTTCTGGATGGACAGATTGACTCTATTACTGAAGGAGAAAGAAGATACTGACTTCTATCAAAGTTGGGACCCTTTTTATGATTGGCTGGAGAAATGGGACTTGGCTTAGATTTAAAGATGTCTTTAAATTTTTATAAATCGATTTGAATATGATTATAGAATGTTAAAAAGATATGTTATAGGGGGCTGACCCAGTACGTCCAATGTATTTGATGATTGATGTTTTTTTAGTTTTCAGTTTAAAATCTTAATAAAAATATTTATTAAAAAAAAGAACCATTTCTGGGAAAAGCTTGTTCAATGCCTGTCCAAAGTGTTGGGAACAACAGAAAACTCTGGAAAAATGTAACTCTTTTCCCAATCAAGGCTGTCAGATATCAAGAATGTTTTGAGATCCTTCCCACAAAATTAAAATTCCTTGTGTGTTTTTAAAGGATTTCAGGAAGAATAAAACTTTGCTGACTTCAGCTGTATCTCTTTATTTCTTTTGCTAAGTATGCATGTGTAAAATAAACTGAGCCGTTGACAACTATTTTTAAATTATAGCATGTGCCTTCCAAGGGTCACTGCAAGGTGGGATCCATCCTCTGATTTTAAGACTGTTTATGACTCTGTGTGTCCATGAAATAATTTCACTTCGATGTGCACACAAGGAATCCCTAAATCAGACCGACGAACTGATTTTAAAAAAGATCTTGGACTGTACAGAAATGGATAGATTGACTTTATCATTGAAGGAGAAAGAAGATACTGACTTCTATCAAACTTGAGACTCTTTTTACTATTGGCTAGAGAAACGGGAGTTCGTATAGATTTAAACATGTTTTTAAGTTATCATAATTGGAAAAAAAATGTGGGGGCTGACCCAGCAGGCCCGATGTTTTAGATGATTGATGTTGTTTTTAGTTTTTCTTTGTTTTTAGGATTATAATTTTGAATAAAACTTATTTTTTTTAAAAAAAGAATCCCTAAATCAGGACAACGGTCAGAATAGGTCACATATCTGCTTTGCTCCCATCCTGTCAAGAACACTTTGCCTATCTTGCAGTTTGAAGCCCAGATCTAAATCCTGTGCTTACCACATAGAGGGCATGTGCTGTTATATTCCAAAGTTGCTGTAAGCTGCTTTGCAGAGTTTAATAGAAAAACAAGACCAAAAGGGAGATATTGAGATTTACTCCCCAGACGGTAATTCAGATGGGCTTGTTTAGCTATCAGTAAGATAAATTAAAACTCTTGTTCTCTGGAGGAAGATCATTGGGGAATGCAGTGAGCATGTAACCTCATCACCTTCGTAAGTGCTGCACGCTAGCCTGAGGTTTGCTTCTCCATTGCACAACATGTGCTGGCAACTTTGCCGCATGGGGACAAGAATGTTCGCAGTGGTTGCGTGAACAAATTCCAGGAAGATACAGTAGCAGACATCACAAGATTGCACCACCGCCCCATCAAAACAGAACAAACAAAAATGTTCTCAGGAGTAATTAAAAAATATTTGAATGGTTTTTGTGACAGCAAAAGTATTTCTGCAATATTTCAAAATTGAGAGAGAGAAATCAAGAGATCACAGTTGTCTTTACACTCCTGAGTTGCATCTCTGAGCAAAATTTTACCTGTTGGCCTAAAAAACAGAGCAGGAAGAACTTCATAATGTGGACTTTATAAAGACTCTCATTCACAGGTAGCAGATATCATGAAAATGAAACAGGCCTCTAGAAAAAGACCTTCGAGTTGTAAGACAGGCGCCTGGGAACACGCCGCTTACTGTTGTTGATGTGGATGTGCCAAGTGAGGGAACTACAGAAGAGAGACAGGACAGAAAGGAGACCTGTG